CAAATGCAATCAAGATTTAACAATAAACATGAACTCTTATTTGTACTCCTTTCATCAAAAGCAGTAATTTGTTATCTCTGGTTTGAGGCTATATACACACACACACACACACACACACACACACACACACATATACATATACATACACACACACACATATATTTGTTCATGTGTAAGAGCATGGGGGTTTTGAAACTAAAACATCAACTGCTTTGATTGCAATATTATATATTTTATCTATACAGCTGTGATAATAAACCAAAAGCTAGAACTGGAAAATAATAGGTTGCTTAATGCTAAAAACCCAAGATTTTTTGATACATGAACTAATATCGTATCTCACCACATAGAATCTGGCAAAAAGAAATAGCAATTTTTGAAAACTGTGAGGCTCTTTATGTTTTGAACAGAGTTTTTAAATTTTCCTGTGAAGGAATAGATTTTTTTTTTTTTGACAAATTAGCTCCTTTGACACAAATTTCTTCATTTGAGTTTAATTGTCGTAATGTGAAAGTCAAAGGGTCCGTATTTAAAATGGAACACAAAATAACACAGGAAGCATTTAAGTTGTACAATGAAAGGCCGATTTAAGTAGGTCTGCCTACAAAGCTGTAAAATTATCTACCTTTGCCTGACAACAAAACTGCCCAATTAGAGTGGAATTTAAAAAAAAGAGACTAATTAGGTTTCAAAACATGCACTAAAGGGAGAAAATATCCTGCAGAAAAGAAGAAATACATTATGCCCATGGGTGCAATACACCTACACCAAGCCAAGTTTGTTAACTTTTTACCTCTACAGGATGGTCATGCAGTGCTATAATATAACATCTCAATTACTATACTGTTACATTGCCACCCAGCAGCTTCTCTAAATAAATACTAACTTATTTATATTACAACAATTTATATTTCTTCTTTGAATTGCGGGAAAAAGAGATACTGAGAGAACAGGAGCTTTAAAAATTTCTTTAAAAAGCTCATACTAAAAGCTTCCCAATTGTCACATTTAGCAACTGTGACTCCATTGATCCATACAAGTGGTTCTTCACTTATGACTACTCATTTTAACAACAGTTTGAAATTACATCAACCTTCAAAAAAGCCACTTACGACTTAAATTCACAATTATGACCACTGCAATACAGCCTTCAGTCATGTGTTTGTGGTTTGGATACTCTCAACTGGTTTATGTATGATTGGTTTCAGCATCCTGAGATTACAATTTGCAACTTTTTTGTTGGATTCACTGGGGAAGCTGTATTCACTTAATGACTGCATGATTTGCTTAATGACCATGGTGACTTATTATTGCTGTAAAACTGTTATTAAATTCAGGTCCAATTTTGTTATGACTTGACTTTCGACCACAGTGACTTATGATGGAAATTTTGGTCCCACTTGTGGTCACAAGTTAGAGACTATTTCTATGGCAGATTCAACCTCCTTTTCATCGAATTTAGATCATCAAGGTGATTTGTCTTCCACCTGCCAAATACCCTAACCAAGTAGCCTTGTTTTACAGTTCCCGCTCACTAATCATTCAATCACTTACCTGTGTCAGAAGTTGCAGTCTGTTCATTAGCTAGGCCCAGCCAGAAATTTTGCTTCCTGAGGCAACCTATATAGAGTTTTCCTCCCACACGTGTTCTTTATTTATTACACTTAAAATGCCACAAAATCAGAAAGACTCAAGGTGCCTTATGTTAAAAACTCAGTAGAAACACACCATCAGAATGCAGAAGCTATAAAAATGAAATGATGCCATGAGGAAGTACATAAAACATCAGTTTGGCCATGAACAACCTTCATTAGTCATCACTTGGCAGGATCACAAAACTTCTTGGCTCATGTTCTGTTTAAAAAGCCAGGTTTTAAAGTTATTCTTAGGCAGTAAAAACCAAATGCCCAGTTATAGAATAGGTAACACCTGGCTCAACAGTAATAACTGGAAGAGTATCTAGGTGTCTTAGTAAGGATGAGCCAGCAGTGTGCTGCAGCTGCCAAAAAAGCCAATGCAGACCTTGGCTGCATGAACAAAGGGGTAGCATCTAGATCACGAAAAGTGATAATACAATTTTATACCCCACTAAGGAGACCACACATGGAATACTGCATCCAGTTCTGGTCATCACGATACAAAAAGGGCCCGAGACCATAGAAAATGTACAATGAAACGCAACAAAGATGACAAGGGGTCTGGAGAATAAACCATATGATGAACAGTTAAGGGAAGTAGGTATAGTTAGGGGTAACATGATAGCTGCCTTTCAGTACTTGAGGAGCTGTTATGGAGAAGATTGATTTGTTTTCCAAAGCATCAGGAGGCAGGACAAAAACTAGGACAAAAAAGAGAGATTCAACCTAAACTAAGGAGAAATTTTACCAACTGGAAGAACAATTAATCAATGGAATAGCTTGCCACTTGGAGATGTGGGTGCTATATCACTGGAGGTTTTAAAAAATAGACTCGACAACCATTTGATACAAGGTTTCCTGCCTTGAGGTCCCTTCAGGCCTATGATTCTATGATCTATCTTATAAAGGATGGCATTCCAGAAGCCAGAAGGTACACCTCTGTGAAACCACAAACCTTTTTTAATGGAAGAGATGTGGGACATGCCCATTCCATCTCATCTTACAGGACAAAGACAATTGGAGAAAAGAAGAGCAGTTGTGTAGATAATCAGGTCATGCCTTGCAAATGATTTATAGATGACAACCAGCACCATCTGGAAACTCTCTGATAACTGGTACAGATTGTAGAGAATAGGTGTCACATGCAGAGCACATTGCAATATGTCATGGGACTGCATTGCGGATAAGTTGTATCTTCAAGTCAAGGGTAGCCCCATGTATAGTAAGGGAAAGGTTCCCCTTGCACATACGTGCTAATCGGTTCCGGCTGTAGGGGGCAGTGCTCATCTCCGTTACAAAGCCGAAGAGCCAGCGCTGTCTGAAGACGTGGCCATGTGGCTGGCATAACTAAACCCAGAAAGCACTGTTACCTTCCCACCAAAATGGTCCCTATTTTTTTACTTGCATTTTTACATGCTTTCAAATTGCTAGGTTGGCAGAAGCTGGGACAAGTAACAAGAGCTTGCTCCATTACGTGGTGTTAGGGATTTGAACCACCGAACTGCCGACTTTTCTGATCAACAAGCTTAGTGTCTTAGCCACTGAGCTACCGCGTCCCTTGAGTATAGTAGAGTGTATTATTAAAAAACTTACAAAACCAAGCATTGATAAAATGCAAGAATGCAAGAAAGGGTATCCCTTCAAAACATACATTTACTGCTTGAGGCCACATCCTCACTTTGTCTAAAAGTGGAGCTATTAATGGTAGGATCATTAATGCAAAATGTTTCCTTATTTAATCACTATATCCATTCAAAGATTTTGAATCTGGTCCTCCAGCTTTGTAACAAAAGCAACAAAAACAGTCCCCAGTCAGAAACAAGGTAAGTGTCTGGCTTGTGACAAATCATTATCTTTCATCCCATTTGTAACAATGGAAGTATTATTAATTTATGCCATAAGGTCTTTTACAGAGTACGAAGACTCACAACTTCAATTGGATCACATTCTATCTCACAGGAAGACTTGAGCATATTCACACATTGAATTACAATTGCATTTAGACTTCATGGTGCTTTGCAGGCCTCTCTAACAGTTTTGCAGAGTTGGCGTATTGCGTATTGCTGTCAACAATCTGGGTCATTTTTACCAACCTTGGAAGCATGGAAGGCTGAGTCAACCTTGAGCCAATCAGGATCAAACTAGCTATAGCTAGTTCAGGATCGAACTAGCTGTAGAGTTAGCTACAGTACTGCATTCTAACCACTATGCTACCACATGAAAGTCACATTCTACATCATGTATAACAAAATCTTTATAAGCAACCTGTGAATTTCCAATTTTTGCTTAACTACAATATTAGCACCTCTTAAACTGATTATATGGGTCAGGGCTGCTGGGAACATTCAACAACATCTGGAAGCTAATGGTTCTCCACATTTTACTTACAAACTCAGCAAATTAGTTCTCAAGTCATTTTTATATAGAACATTTTCCCACACTGAAAACTAAGAATACCTGTTTATTTTCAGTCAATGTTGTGAGAGTACTGCTTAAATAAATTATTTCACACTGATTTCAGAATTAATGCTACTTTAGCATTAGATCGCTTGATCTATTTATTATTACATTTACATTGTACTGTTTCTTTAAAGTGCAAGTGTGTGATTATCTTAATTTATTTCACAACAAGAAAACTGAAATACCAGCTGAAAGTCACCTAATGAGCTTCTATAATAAAGAGCGATCTAATAATTGAAAACACTTTTACCACAACTAACTTTTAATTAGATGTTAGCGTTATAAAGCATTTTGTACATTGCATTCTGTAAACTATATACTCATCAGTACAATTGTAAAATTCTCAGCTCAGAAATTCATATTGAAAAATCATTTCTGTTAATCAATATACTTTTCTTGACAGTACACCAATATTTTCTAATTACAATAAGGAAAATCTCTAAAATACATATACAGCAATACACATATGTATACTCAGGCTTGTTCCACTCTGTTATTAATATGATCACTGCCATCAAACAAAAAATGAGCTATAATTAATCAATAAGGTGAGCTTATTTTTTATTTTGTTTTTTTCATAACTGTAACATTTTTTTTAAAAAATGAGCAATTGCCTTTTCCCTTCTGCAAGTTTTAGAAGAAATAACTGATAATTGGCCCAAGTTCCCAACAAAATAAGCAAATGGATTCTAAGATTACAACTAATATAGTGCCTACTATGAAATAAGCACTTGCTTTTACACATGGTCCAATCTGAAACCACATCACCAAGAAATGAATTTTGCACATATAATTTCACACTTATCAACTGTTTCAACTCCCCACCCCCTGAAGAAGACATTATGGTTGTCTTTTGTCCACTAGATGGTGCTGTGGTTCCCCTTACAGACCAACATCACTTACTTGCATTCTCTGTCCTCTAAATCAAAGTGTGGGTTGAAGTTGATCATAATCCTCTGGTGAGGTTGAGGAGCTTGAATCAACCATTCACATTTTTGACTCGGATGATAACTATTAGGATAGCCTGGAGAGGTGAGATATCCAGGCTCTAAAATTTGTATGTTTTCTCCACATCGATCTGCAATTAAAACACACAAACATACATGTATTACATTGAAATCACATCATTCGATCGATCCATCTTATAAATAATAGGCCATTCAGTACTTCAGCTCTGGTCGACTCAAGCTAATAGATTTCCTTTCCCATAGATTGCACAACTATTTATTCAATTGTTTATAGAAACTTTTTTTCTGTAAACAAGATAAATAACTTCACCTTCTTTCAGATCACCATTTTTAAAAATACATGCAAACTGGGTAGCTTTACCAAGTATCTTTTACCCAAAGATATTAAGGTTTTTTTTACCTAATGGCTACAGTGTAGAAAGTACTAACAGTACTCATAGTAGCATACTATAATAGCAAGTAGTTAAGTATAGAATATGTAGCTACAATGATATTGAGCATCAAATTTTACACAGGGAGCAACTTGAAGCTAATACAGTGCCTGCCCCCTCCCTGCTTTCTGATAATGAGCCTGTTCTTTGTCATTAGACAATCTGGCTTGTTTACACCATCCCTCTCTTTCTGGTTTATCAGATACTAAATCTAAGCAATTTGAAGTTATCTGTGCTCCAGAGGTCCAGACTACCCAGCAACAAAGCACATTGTTAAAGCAGCAAAGGTTTACTTAGCTCCATTACGGAAGTTCCCCCCCACCTAAGCTACTTGGGGAGCAGATAAGGGTTAGCAAAGCAGAAAGGAAAGGAAAGGAAAACAAACTTTAGTTCCAATTACGAAATTCCTGCCTTCCCCTGTCTTTCAAATCTCACGAGTTCTCCTTGAGTAAAAGTGCTCTGACTCACAACTATAGGTTAGGATTAACTACAATTTATATAATAATTATTAAAGATGGAAGAAAAGGAATCTCATTAACCTCCAACGTCAATACTGCTACTGCTACTGTAAGTCTGCACTGGTTAGTTTTAAAAATTATGGACTGTTAACATCACAGAATCAAACATGTGTCACTTGCAATGCATAACATTTTCCCAGGAATGGCATACACTGGTTGGAATCCTCCTTCTAAGAGAAATCTGGTGATATGAAAATGGTTATCAATAGTTCTTAACGTGAAATTATCAGTGTACAGAACTTCACTATAGAAAACCAGGTCAGTTTGAAAGAAAGAGTACACCAAATCACCAACTATGTCAATTATAGGAAACATCTTCTATAATTTAGAAGAGAATGAGATGGTTTATTTTCAACTCAAATCCGACTCAAATTATGATTTTTGAGTTGGTTGTATGTTCCTATTTATCCCTGCTTTGGCAGTTTGCATAGCGTGTGTCTTTCCTGAGAACAAAAGATGTTGTCCTTAGGAGTTCAAAGTGAGCAGCCAATGATATTTCTCTGCAAACCTCTTGCATGTGGCAGGAAGGACAATCTGGCATGATTTGCCATCTGCAGCAGACTTAGGAAGAAAACTATCCTGCTTCATTAAGTCTTCTCTAATACTCTGCAAACAACATGGCATAATCTGGAATATGTGAAATGGTTGAAATAAACCAGTGAATCACTTGACAGAGTCACTCCAGGAAACATTTAGTAGACTCACTACCAATAACACTTTAATCGCTATCTCCTGGGAAAGTGATATAATAAGATAATGTGGGCCGTTAATACTCTCTGGCTCTGTGAAATCTCTCTTTTACTTGATTAAGAGAAGCAGTTTCTAATGATTTTGGACCATTAGCTCTAAATAGGTTTAATGAATTAATTTTGCAGACACTTGAACTGGACAGAGGAAGACAATCTGGCACTCGTGGGTCTGTTGAATTGTTGCAGATCCAAAGAACTGCAATGACTTCAGTGGAGCTAAAAATATTTTGCTCACAATTACTCAGATTCAATGGTAGCATTGTAGTTTCTTTCTAGATTGGGCTCTTCAAAGAATGTTATTTGATGGCAAAAAGACATTTAGTACATCTCACTCCACAAGGCTTTCAATGAGCCTCTTCTGTTTTATACATCCCAGTTAAATTCAGTACTATTCATGTATTACTGAAGATGCACAGCCTGAAACTGTAATCCCTGGAAAGAAAGACTTGACAATTGAAAGAGAAAATCTAGTTCCAAAATATCGCTGTAGATCTGAAACTGAATCATGGCATCCAAAGTACAAATACTTCCCAGCAAACTGATTTCCAGATCCTACTGTAATGATGTTACTGAAGAAGCAGACAAGAGAACTTGTTGAGTTTTGACCAAATTAGCCAACTTCCTCATATTGGAAAAAGATTAATTTCCTTCATAACATGTGATTTAAATCTGTTCCTGTAAGACACACACACTACATGCAGTTGCTTATTAAAACAATATACCACCAGAAGTACAGTGGAGGATGTCCCTTCGTTTAATTACTTTGATCGAAATCCTAGTCAAGAGAGGTTAATATTTAGTTATTAGCTAATAATTGCTCAGACTTGGTTCTGAGAGGAAAAACCCAGGTGATTTCCCCACTCCATGCTTGCAAGTTAAATGCCAGCCACTCCTAAAGTAAGAACATTTTAAAGAATGCATAACATAATGAGATATTCCAGATGCCTGACCGCTATTGTGTCAGAAGCCCTTGTTGTTTTGAAACTGTTGATATCAAGCATTGCCTCAAGGCCAGATATGAAGACTATTTGAGATAATTCTTTCTTAGAACTGTTGCCTCTGAAGAAGAATGCTTTATATTCCTTGCATTGAAACAAGCAGTCTGTAAACTCAAGCCTTTTTTCATTTCATAAGTATAAAGGAGTGAAATTGTACCTGCATTATTAGCAAAGATGGTTATATATCTATATATTCCTATCTCCCTTAGCTTTCACTTCCTCAGAAACAATACTTGGGTATTTGAAATACTCATCTGTTTAATTTTTCTGGACAATCTTGTGCAACTGCCAAGGGAAGGAAACATTAAAATCATTGGCTATTATGTGAAAGCTATAAGCCCAGTGTTACATGTTGCATTAGAATATGGAGCCAGAAAGGAAGGGCTAAAAGACTAAGTGTGTTGATTAGGTGTAATTCTAGATGAACACCCAGCATGTTATCCATCAACCTCTCCTTCTAGCCAATACAGTTAAAACCTGTTCCAAGATTGGCTTATCATCATCATCATCATCTCAGGCAAAGGGATTTCCAACTTGCAGATAGCAACCTGGATGCACCGAAAGTGATCTTGAGTCACTTACCACTCTTCAAAGCCTTGCCGAAGGCGACTATGAGGGCTGCAGAGTGCAAAAGTAGACCCCAGGCCATCTTCTGCTTCGGATACAGGAGGTCTGAAGAAAGGGAACAAGATTATCCAATCTCTCCGCGCAATTCCGCTCAGATCTTAAATCCTCCTTCAGCACGGGCAGTTAAAAAGAAACAGAAAACCGACTCAGCCGACAACAATTGTAGTAGTAGCACCAGAAGGTCTTGTCGATTGCAATAGGCGCGCGCTCTCTCTCCTCTCTCTCTCTCTCTCTCTCTCTTTCTCTCTCCCTTTTCTCTCTCGACTATCTCCTTAAGTCGCCCGCATCCTGTCATTTAGCTCTGGTTTCCTGTGCTTTTTGCCACACTGAATCCATTTCCAGGAGATACTGTCCTTGCCATGTTCAAATAGAGGTTAACATGGGGGGGGAGGGGGGGAGCCAACAGCGGAAAAACTAACAAGGAAATCGCACCCGCGGCACAGATGGACGAAGCGCGCGGAAATCCTCGCCACTTTCTTCTCCTAAGCCGGTTGCACAACTCTCCCAGGGAAAGGCTCAGCAGGGCGCCTGCCTAGAGCACTGAGGAGGAATAGAAAACAGTTGTTAAGGCAAGAGGCGACTTCCCCCCCCCCCCAACTTCCCTCCCCTCCCTCTTGCCCTCTTCACCTCCCGACCGTCTCGCCAGACGCGGAAGGGGGGGCGCGGGACCTTTTTCCCCGGGGGCCCCCCCCCCCCGAAGGAAGACGGATCTGCCCGCGGGGAGCTCGAGCGCCCAGACCCGGCGCGCGCTCGCTCGCTCGCTCGTGACTGACCTGACGCCTCGTGTGCCCTGCAAACGCGGCGGGCACTTGCAATCCTAAAGCCCCTCGGTGATGGGACGCCGCCTCTGCCTTCGCTGATCCAAGCGGCTGGCAGCGGCGATGGGAACAGTGGCAGAAGTGCCAAGCGGCTCCTTCCTGCAGCCTATGGAGAAGTAGCTCAAATCAGTGGCAATAAGAGAGGACCCGACGCTATTTCCAAAGCCCCGAGTCCCCACCCCCTCCCCCCCCCCCCCCCCCCCCCCCCGAAACAAGAATCCACCTTCACCAAAGCCCCGAAATCTACTCGAAGGGTGAATGGGTGGAAAACCGAGAAAGGGGTGGAGAGGCTTGGAGACAGAGAGGGAGGGACCGACGGAAGCACGAAACCGAAGAAGGGGAGGCGGGCAGGAGTGCGCCGGCGATGAGGAGGCGCCTTCTCCTGCTCCGCTCTTTGACCGCCTCCGAAGAAGCAGGGGTCTTCGCGGAGCAGGTAAGCGAAGTGAGGCTGACGCGGCTTGAAGCGCCCGTCTGAAGTAACCCTCTCCCAGATCACGCCTTGGCTGACTGCCGTCTAAACCAACACGCCCACCTACTCTGCCAGCCGATCACCCCACGCGGGTATTTCAAGGCATTCTGCTGGCCCGTCGGCGGGTCATCTTCTTTCCCCTCCTGGTGTCAGATGGTTACTCAGCGCCCAAAGAAGAAAGTCCGAGCCAGCTATGGGATTCGTGCTCTCAATCTCCGCGCGGCTCTCCAAAGGTGTCAAAACGGCCCCATTACCTGAAGGGGCTCACTGTCTCTTCCCTTAGCCCCGCTCCCTCCGTGGTTAAGAGTGCGCAAGATCGGCTTTAGTGCAGCATCTTCAGGACTCTCGCCATCCTGTAGATCTTTGGCGCCCGTCTGGCTCTCACCAATGGATGCGCTGCCAGCCACTCAGAGCTCAGTGCGCCCCACCGCGACCTCGACCAACGCGGGCATTAACAGCCTGGCCTCAAGCTTGTGCGCTGTTGCGCTTTGTCCTCCTTCCACTTTTTCCTTCTGTCAAGCCCAGTTCAGCGGTATCCGCCCCTAGGTTACGCCTCCAGTTTTGACCCCGAGCCTGAAAGCACACAGCCTGTTCGCAACCTCGCCAATTGCTCCCCCGTAGTTTTCTTCCCACCATCCCACCCCGACCAAACCCCCGGGGCAGAAGCTTTGTACTCTGAGGGAAGAACCGCCGCCTACACCTTGTACGTTGGCAATTCTCCAGCATCTCACACCTGCCTCAGGTTTGTTCCCTTAGTCTCTTCTCCGCCTCCTAACTCACTGGCGGCGCCTTATGGCCCGCGGGGATCGGGCGTGTTCTGCTCACGGACCCCTCCTCCGATGCTCGCCACTGAGCACTTCCCTCCGCTCGCCCACTTCATGGCTGCTTCCCCCCGTTCTTTCAAATAATCACGAATATCGCCCGCGATGGCAACTGAGGTGGCGGATCACTGTGGAAGGTGCGCGCGTGTAAATCTGTTTGTGTCAGCATAAATGGCAAGGATAAGGCGAAGCGACACCGCGCACATTTCTCCCCCTTCCCCCCTCCCGCCTCTCTCTCTCTCTCTCACACACACACACTCACACTCCTGGTGGGCTCTGCGGAGAGAAATGCCACATATTTCCTTAGCGCTTTCTCAGTTAGGGAAGGGCAGCGCCCAGGCGGATAGAAGAATGAAAGTTGAAACAATAAAACAATAAACAATGTAAAACACTAAAAAGATAAACCCAACCAGACCTGGCAATTATTCTCAATTAAAGATAAATACTTGAGATTGGGTGCCTAGTTCCAAGATATTACTGTAGATCTGGAGCAGAAATAGTCAAAGAAACACCGGGGAGGAAGAGTAGAGGGCGTGCCCATCTTCCTGCATCGCTAGAGGTAAGGGACTGATGGAGGGGATGATGGATGCCAATGGGGGTACAAAGAATCCATAGCAGTATTTCTCAACCTTGATCATTAAAATATGCAGGCTTCAATTCTTGGGAAATTCTGGAAGTTGAAATCCAGACATCTTAAAAGTTGCTGAAGCCGAGAAACACCACTCTGGAGTTTCATCTTGGCTGGTAGCAAGAGAAGAAAGAAAATACAAAAACCGAAATTAATGTATTTAGCAAAGGGTGACAGAATCAAACTATTTTTTTCAGGCCCACTAAGAGTATAATATGCAGATTGATTTTGACTGGCAGATTCTGTTGTGTTGCAACATAAGGCACAGAATTGGGATGAAAGAATGGATGTAACTAAAGCTACACAACTGCAGCAGATAAGGGCATTTCCTGGCTGAAGATCCATCAAGACCAGTATCTAAATCAAGCTGTGTTGATGAAAATGTTTGCCCCAGAATCAGGAAGTTAGTTTGTTGTTACTGGTAGTTGTTTCCTTGCCCAGATTCAACAAGTTAGCAAAAAGCATGCAGAGCATGGGTCCTGCAATTCTTTCCAGCTCCATCAGCAGCAAAGGCTATAGGAAGTGTTTGCATTTGGTTCTGTGTGAGAGATATGTGTTGCATCTGTGTTTATGTATGGGTGTGTTTCTGCTCTCCCTTGTGTTGAATCAATCTGCACTTCTGTGTGCAGATAGAAACAAGTGGACTGCATAGATTCCGTTTTTGGTCATGTGTCCAGAAGGAAGGCATGGAATTTAGAATGGAGGATTTTAGTAGCATTCTGAACCCTGACCAATTGCCTCTTCCATAAGAATTGCCTGGGAATATTTTTTTGCTGGAATTATTTTCTCTTTCACAACTGGACCACTTTTATTGCTTTGATTGATTGCATATTGTACCCTATGACTATCATTAAGTGTCGTACCTTATGATTCTCGACTCCTGACATATGTATCTTTTCTTTTATGTATACTGAGAGTATTTACACCATGACAAATTCCTTGTGTGTCCAATCACACTTGGCCAATAAAAAATTCTATTCTGTTCTGTTCTATTCTATTCTATTCTATTCTGTTCTGTTCCGTTCCGTTCCGTTCCGTTCCATTCCATTCCATTCCATTCCATTCCATTCCATTCCATTCCATTCTATTCTATTCTATTCTATTCTATTCTATTCTATTCTATTCAATCCAGAATTTCTTTGGCTGGTTTCCTCCATCCAGTGGTGGTATTCAGCCAGTTTGGAACGGTTCTGGCATACCAGTAGCAAAAATTTTGAGTAGTTTGGAGAACTGGCAAATACTACCTCTGGTTGGTGGAAGTGCATGTGCATAGAACCGCTCATAGAACCAGTAGGAAAACATTTGGAAAACCGCCACTGCCTCCATCATACCAAATTTGGTTTCTTTCAGTTTCAGGTTTGGAGAGTTATCCTGTTCATGGACTGACAACAGATTCCTGAGCCTCTTTACCTAATTCCTTTACAACCTTCTGTTGGATTGAAATGAATTTATTTTAAAAAAAGTTTCTACTAGAGGTTCTGCAAAGTGCATGGATGTCATAAAACTCACAAAAATGAAGTACAAGTATATTAACATGTTCACTTTATTTAATTTAGAATTAACTTTAGGATTAGGATTACACTAAATCCTAGGATTCCTTGAGTATATGTAATTCTGTCAGATGAGGTTTCCTCCCTGATTTTTAAGAGACTTAAATTCTTTTCCTTTTGAACAACTGTAACACTTCCTAAATAAATAGCAGATTTTTTTTCCCCTCTATGCAACAACAACAAAAAAATAACACCCATAATGGAGCATTTGATCCAAACAAACACAACTATTGCATGGAAATTTTAGTAGGAAAAGGAAGAAAAGTCTCAAGTGATATGTGATGATGAACATGGAATTACATTACAACCGCTTACATCCTTCTGAACAACACTGCTGGCATATAGCAGAGGGACAAATATATTAGTGGGAGGTCACAAGTATACTTTTTTTTAAAATCAGCCAATCCTAAGGGTGGGGGTGGGGGGGACAGAGAATACACTTCATTTTCTAGGCTGGCTAGAGTATAAATCTCTGTCCATACACACTGAGCTGTAAATTTGTTTGAAATACTTTTCAAACAGTTGTTACAGTTGGCAGACACAGACAGCAAAATTACAAATGTTTTTTCATTTGTGTGTGGTAACCATATGGATCCTATAGTTCATTCCTTCTTGAGTGCAATCTTAAACTCAGCACATCTGAAGATACTCATAGACACTTTCTCATTTAGAGAAGATCCTGTCCCTGACGTCCAAGAAAACTGTATACAATCAAATACTCACCTCATTGACTCTTAGCCCATTACACTGTGAGCAGTGCTAGCTCAATACCATTATCTTGTCAGCCTTTTGCACTATCTTCGACTGTATTCTCAGAGCTCATCCATGTCAAATTTGGCACCAGAGTCAGACAAAATGGTAGATTCCTTCCCAGCCTTGTCTTACTCTTCATCTCTAGCCAGTCCCTGAGCATATCTTATGCAATACTTGTACATTTACTGGACTAAGAGTAATGCATATTTTATAACTAGCGCATCAAGTTCTTTCTTTGTTTTCCTTAAATGACATCCTTATAAGTTAGCAGTGGGTTAACACGCTGTGAAAATCCAGCTGTTAATGTGCTTCATAATACAAACCAATGAGTTGAATCTTTCCTCATAATTGCTAAATTAGCACTCTCTGCAGTTTATTCCTGAGAAAATATAGACAAGGTTAAAGCTGTGCATTGCATATTTAAAGTAATTTTGGGAAATATGTGTGCTAAAGAGCAACAGAGGCTTATTGTAAGTGTGGCTTTGCTTAGTGAGCAGACATCTGGAAAATAAGTCGCTGGTATTAAAAAGTTATACCTATCATATGAAAATTGTGGTTCCTTCTTCACTTAATTTCATTCTATCTCATTAGGTCTATGAAGCCAAGGACAATAAATTAGTACTCATCTGTACTTTGTTAATAGTTTTTCCTTGGTTTTGCAAAACAATATTGTAGTTTCCTTAATAGTTTGTATGCTTTGATGCTTTGCTTATTCTACAAAATAGCTGTAACTATTATGATGAATGACACACCCAGCATTCTAGACATTTTGATTAACAATCCATGGACTCTATTCTAATATTGAGAGAGAGAGAAAATGCTCCCATTTTCATGAGGTTCTAAACATTTAATCAATGATTCCTGTTCACAAAATAGTGAAAGCTAAAACTTGATGTTCAGAAGTTCAATGCAATCCTGCTGTCATCAGTAAATTAATATAGTATATATTGTATAGGTACCGCCAACATCATAGTTCTTGGTAAAGTTAACTGACACATTATCAAGAGTTCAAGTTTTACATATTTTATACTGAATGTTGCACTGGTCCTTTAACATACATTTTTGATGAACACAAAAGTAGCCCCATGCCATGTAATAACTTGTGATAGTCAAAGAGCTTTTTTCCTTTTAATAACTTACTTTATGACTCTTTTTGCCCATCAAGACATAGCTAGCCTCATCGATAGTCAATAGAAAGACTTCTAGCTGTTCAAAATTCAATCAATGGAAAGTCAGTAAATGAGACAAACTGTAAGACCATAAATAATAGACTTTTCTGTTTGCACAAGCCACTCCCCCATTACTACTAATACTTAGTGATGCAATTTGTTGCCATAAGTAGACAATGGATTGATTTTTAAAATCTCTTTAAATATTTAATGATGATTGCTTTTAATTCCCCCCCCTCTCTGTCTACCTTTTTGACATGTCCTGCCTCCCCCTTTGAATGTGGTCACAAGAAAGGTCAAATATGACCTCAGATTGAAAAAGGACTATCTAGTTCTGGGGTAAATAAATTTAAATAGACTATCCCTGAATTAATATGCTGATTATTAAATAGCCATCTCATGGAAAGCTATATATGAAAAATATAAATTTCTGGAATGTAGCAATACTCCCCCCCCCCAT